GCCGAAACTGCCCTGTCCCCACGCCTGCCACGGGTGGGAGGATGACAGCTTTGTGCCCAGCCCCGTGCTGTGTGTGGGAGGTGCTCCCTGCCCCAACACCCTTGGGAGCAGAGGTCCTTGTGTCCCAGTGAGGTGCCACTAAGCAGCACTGCTTGATGCTGAGACACACCAGCAGCCGAGTCCCAGCTCCAAGGACAGCAAAGGGGAAGGGAAGGTCACTGAGCCACTACCCGTGCCATAAAACATCCCCAGCCCTTCTCTTTAAGGGGAGAAAAACGCCACAGACTCACCTTCCTGGGGGTCCATCTCCCTGTGCCCAGCACTGCAGGAGCTGCTCCTGGCTGGCCCAGCAGAGCCTGGTGTGCACCAGAGCCTGGCACGTCCTGCCCGTCCCCTCCTCTCCTGGTGACACAGCCGCCTCACTGCCCGTACCACAGCAAGGCTGGGCACCACTCCTTGCCCACTGGTTCGACTGGTTCCCAGGGGAGAAAGCAGAATTGCTCTGGCAGACATCGCTCCTCGTGGGATGGACGGGCCATCATGTGGGAGGGCTGCGCCCAGCCCAGGCTCCCCACCCACACCAGCTTGATGCCATGACTGCCCATGCAGGCAGCTCTGCCCTCCCACTGCTGGCAGAGGCTGAACTGGTAGTGCTGGGAGCCCGAGGGGCAGGGACACCCTGGACACAGTGGTGTCCAGCCCTGGCAAGGTGTCTGAGTGTCTGTGTTCTCTGACTGCCACCTCCTGGCAAAGAGCAGCAGCTGGGAGAGGGGCAAGGTCCCACAAAGAGCTTAAGCTGAATGGGGATGCCCACTAAGGTTCATGGCCGTGCAGGGTGAGGCCACCCAGGGGGAGGGCAGGACCCCAGGGTGTCCCATCACCCACTGCCCCCAGTCACAGACTCCTCCCAATACGATGTACTTACAGCTGTGTTCTATCACCTTCTCAGACCCACAGGGTTGGGTGGCAGTCACTGCCTGCCTGCAAACAGAGGGGGAAATCATCTCCAGTGGCTGTAGGAAGAAGGGAGCAAACAGGGATAACCATTAACAGCTTGGAAACCAAGCAACCAGGGATAAACTCCCTCCTTCCCCTAAAAACCTGCTCTTTGTAAAGCTTTGCCAGGCATAGCCTCCAACTACACCATGGCCCAGTGTGGGATCAGGGCAGGAACTAAGCCCTGCTCAGCCCTCCCAGGAGCCATCATTCCTGCACAAGCCCCAGGGAGATTCCTGGGACATGTAGGGATGCTGGCAGGGAAGGGCAGGATGCAGAGGGGATGGTGCAGGTTACAGACCCCCAGGCCCTGGCAGCTCCTGGCTGGGACAGAGAGCCAGGACCACTCCTCTCCAGGCTGTGCAAAGGGACAGGGTGTCCATTGGCTCAGGGAGGCTGGTGGCCCCAGGCCAGCCCTGCATGGCCCCTGCCTGACCCCAGATGGGTGCCCAGAAGCCTGGGTCACCCCAGGGCACTGGGCACAAGAGGCCAGGGCAGGGTGATGGACTGGAAGCAGTCGCACTCCAGGAAGCAGAGCCCCGCCAGCGTGAGGAGCTGTGACAACATCTGCAAACTACAGCTGCTTCCTCAAAGTTTTCACTCAACCTCAGAGGAGGAAAGGCCGCTCCCCACTGTGCCACCTCCCACCCCACAGATGCTGCTGGGCTGCTCTCCCTTCCGCAGCAGCAGGGCCAGGCGTGGGGCTGGCACCGGGATGCCCTGGGAAGGCTGCCCACACTTTGAGGGGTTCCCTGGGGCACAGCAGGGGGCTGAGATCGCTCCAGAGCCTCTGTCTGATCCCTGCTGGCCTGGCAGCACCCATCTCTGCAGCTGCTTTTAAGTCACACCTTGTTCCCTGACAAGGGACGGGAATGCCCAGACTGGACAGGAGAGCTCACTCCATCATGCTGCATCTCACACTGCACCAGCTGTCCCCACACCTGAGGGGGCTGGATCCTTACCAGTGACCTGAGAAGGTGTCCCTTACCTGCCTCAGAGCCACACACGGCTGCTATGGAAGGGAGAGACCCCCCTGATCTCCAGGGCAGGGTCACTGCTGTGGCATGGATGAGCAGGCACAGCAGTGGCACAGCTCCCCAGGATTCTTTGCAGTGTCCCAGCTGGCACAGTGCACACATCTGGCAGCAACAGCTCTCCCTGGCCGTTGAGAAAGCTCAATTACACAAAGAGGAGAGGATAATTAGCTGCACACCCACCACTTCCAGCATTAGTCTGCACAAGGCCAGGCTTTGCTGCCAGGGGGGGCTGATGGCAGCCACAGCCTCCCTGAGCCCAGCCTGCTCCCTGCACCTGCCCTTCCCCTCCTGCACTCCCAAACCCCAGTGCCAACCATACCCCACCTTATGCAACATCAATAGGCTCCTCCAACCCGGGGCAGCTGCTCTGCCAAGGGATGGGGAATGGCAAGAGAAGGGCCTGATCAACCCTGAGCTCTCACCACAGCCCTCCCTTGCAGAGCCCCCTCAAGGACAGCAGCCCTCTGGCAGAGTCTGCCACCAGCCCACAAGCTCCCAGCAGCACAGGAATGGGCAGCCAGCAGTGCTGTACCACAGCAGAGGTGACCTGCCACGGGCACTCACTCCCCTTCCTTTTAACTTCCCTCTGGAGCTGCCAGGAGCACGAAGCAGGGCTGTGCAGGGACACACAGACCAAGTGAACCGAGGGACAGGAGAATATAATGGCCTCGTCACCTCATACATAAACTCCTCTCCTTTCCTCCTCCACCTACCAAAACCTCTTTTTAAAAACATCGAAGTGCAACGCGGAAGAGTCGGACAAAGAGGGGACAGCTGTGGTTCCCCTTATCATGAGAGGAGCATGAATAATCCTGCTCTGTCAGTCAGTTCACTCCTGATAAACTATTTGGTGACAGCAGCTCTGCAGGTGAGTCACCCTCCAGTGGCAGATGCCAAGATTATTGCAGGTGATGGTGCTGCTGATAGACTGGTGTTATATTACAATACAAATCATAAATCCTGTTTCACAACTCCCCTTGTGGGTTTTAAGGAGCGCTTGGGCGGTCCTGCCCCAGTGTCAGCACAGCACTGAGGGCAGAGCAGCAGAGGCACAGGGCTGGTGGGAGCATCGCCAGCCTGGGGCTCCCTGGCCTTCATGGTATCCCCACCTTTGGGACCAGAGGAGATTTGCCAGGTTTCTGCAGGCAGAAAACCACGTCAGAGCTGGACGGACATGGTGAGTTACTGACAGCTTTACCCACTGCTCTGCCCCAACCCTGCATGTCTGCCCTCAGCTCCAGGAGCCAGCAGCTGGCACCCCGCACACCCTGGGCACCCAGGTGATGAGTGATGAGGCAGCCCAGGCTCAGCAGAGCTGCTGCTTCCTGGCCCCAGCCCCCCACAGCATCCAGGCAGGGCAGAATTTTACCCATCTCTCCCAACACCCAGCTGTGGCTGCTGGATACGGCGCTTGGCTTTTCCCACGAGCTCTCATTGCCATGTTTCTCCAAGGCTTGCCTTGCCCTCTCCCCAAGTGGGAAGCAGACAAGTAAGGCAGCATGCCTTGCCAACCTGCTCACCGAGGCAACTGTGCACTCCTGGAGTGTCTTATCTCCCTTGAGAAGGGGCTGGGCCTTAGACAATGGCAGGGGAACCAGCACCCCTGCCCCCAGCACAGCTCCCACTGTGGGACTGCTGGTCCCTCTGCTCAGCACAAGGGACACGCTTGGCTCAGCTTCCCTCGGTGCCTTTTGCAAGCAAAGCCATGGGCACCAAACCCCAGCCTGGCATGCAGTCCCTTCCCAGGAAGAAGAGGCTCCCTTAACAGAGGGCACTGTAAAACCCTCTACGAGCCACACACCAGGACCTCATCCTCTCCAGGGTGGGGAGGAAATCACCCCCTCAGCCCCCTGAATGCACCCACCAGCTAAACCCCCAGCAGCCAAGGAGTTAGCCCCAGATCTGAGCACCCTGCACCCTCCACAGCTGGGGTTTGCATGGGAACACCCTACCTGCCCTCGGCGGGGAGCAGCCAGCACAGCTCTCAGAGCACCTGAGGGTCCTTCAGCCACAAGCTGCAGAGGGCAGAGCAGGAGCCTGGCTGTGCCCGGGTATCCAGGTTGACTTGGATGGCATTGGGGGGCCACTGGGAGCTCACAGCTCGTGGGGTGGCACTTTCACAGCTGGAATGCAGGCTGGGCAGAGTGGCAGCAACACACATCCAGAGAACAGGGTGAGCGAGATCAATTAGTTACGGTAGCCTTGAGTCCTCCAGGAAATCATGTGCTTGGAGCTGGAGCTGGCACAGCTCTTGCCTGGCTTTGAATTTAACCAGAGCAGCTCTTGCTTGTAGTGTGGTTTCAAGAGCAAAGAGACAGTCACAGAGGAGCAGCCCCTGGTGCAGCTCCAGGCTGTGAAGCTGCTTGAAACAGAAGAGGTTCATGGGCTGAAGGAAAAGATAATAATAAAAACAAACCAACAATGGATCATGCCTTCCTGAGGTGGGAAGGTGGCCAGCACCACCCCATCGTCCCTCCCACCTGCACCCACCCCCAGCCTGCACAGGGCTGTTGGAAAGGAGCCTGGTACCAGCTGGTGTGATGGGCACAAGTGTGGGCAGGTGGGGGCAGCTGCAGTGCCCCCCAGGCATGGTGCCATCCTGGCCAGGGCCCTGGGACCGTTCCACAGGGAACCGTTAGGATCCCATTATCCATGTCATGCCCAGCCTGGGCCCATGGTGACACAAAAGGTCAGCACGAGGAAGCAGCAGCCCCAGCGCCCTGGGCTGGCTGTGCTGGAGCATGTAGGTGGTGGCTGGGAGCACACTGGGCTGGCATTGCAAAACACCCAGGGCTCCTGCAGGCACTGGGCACTGCAGATAAGTGGCTTGGGAAGGGCAGCAGAGATGGGAGATCCAGGAGACCCTCCCCATCCCACCCTGCTCTCCTGCTCCCAGAAGCTCTGTGCCCACAGGAGCTGATCTGGAGCTTGGACCCCCTGGAAGCACTGCAGGGCCCACCAGGAGCTGGGTGCTCATCTGGACTTGCCCGTGGCTTGGCATCAGTGCCAGACCAGCCCGGCTGTTGGGAGAAAGGCCCCTGGCACTTCCTCAAAAGAGCCAGGCAGTTTTATGCTGGGACACAGCCCCAGGCCCTGAGCCCTGCCAGCACTGGGCAGGATTCCCTGCACAGGTCACCTCTTGCTCCAAAGCTGAGGAGCAGCTGCAACCAGGATCCCAAGCCATGCAGCAGGGCTGTGGTGGGGAAGCAATATTTCCCAGCTGGGCAAGGGGCTGTGAGGGCTGAGGTAGCAGCACACTAAATAAATCCAAGCTATTGCTATGTGCTATCTCACAAATAGTCATTTGGTACTTGCCAGTAAAATCCAGCTGCCCAGAGAAAAGTGTGTTGCTCATGATGCTCAGCAGCCCAAGGAGCAAAGGCTTCCAAACCCTGAACTCTCCTGAACCGTGTTCCTGGGTCCATGGGTTTATTCCAGAGTTTTTAATCTTCCTTACCTCTGCCCATGCTGGGTACAGGCCCTGCAAAAAAAGCCACAAACGTAACACGCCTCATCTTACCTGTCACAGTAGAATCCAGAAGCAAAGGTGAAGGAGGAGAGCTTGTTTGGGGCTGGAAGGACATCCATTGAAGGGAAATGAAGTGTGCTGCTTTCCACAGCCTCAGCAGGGCTGGAGCACACTTCCAGACCATTGTAAGCTGCCAGGAAGCATCTCAAGAGCTTGTCACGAGCACAGCTGCAGAACAGGGCGACAGAAACATACAGTGCCCACCCAAACCCCCCAGAGGGGCTCTGATCTTCACCCAGCACCAACCCTCCCACTGAGCACGGGGCAACGGCAGCTGTGGCTCATGGACCTTCCCACTGCAGTCAGGCATCCCTCGTATGGGAAGCCATGACAGGAAAACCCTTCTGCAGGGATCCAGTGGGATCCATCCCACGTTCCTCACCCGCTCTGGCACTGCCTGCAGCCTGGCTGTGTTTACCGGGTGTCCTAGCAGCGGCACAGCCCTCGCTCCCCACCCTGGGAGCACTTGCTCCCACGGGCTGGGCTGGTTTCTCCAGCAGCTCCAGAAGGCTCTTGGGAAGGGCTCAGGATGTGTTTCTCAGCTTGTGACCCTGTGCTCAACCAGCTGAAGAATATAACCCCAGTTGTGACACATCTGGGTGGCACAGCCCCGCAGGCAGGTGTATTTTAACTCAGGGTACCTTGGGACATCAGAAAGTGCCTCTTTCATAGTGCCCATGACTTCTTAAGCCTCTGGTGCATTAAAGGCAGCAGCTGTATAACATTAATACCCAGTTACTGGAATTGTACAGGTGGTGACCATGGGAACAACACAGCTGGTGATCCCAAGTGCCATCAGAGCCAAGTGTTGTGGAACCAGAACCTGCCACCCCCACCCCCAGCAGCTCTACAGAAACCCCAGCTCAGGTTGGGGCAGTTTCTCTGCTAGTCCTCCTGGTTGGCCTTGAGCAAGCCAAGGAAATAACAGCCTCTGTGCCTGCCCAGGTTCAGCTGATGCTCTGCTTCCCCTGGGCTGCCCTCCCCAAGAAGGCTGATCCCATTATCCAAGTGCTCACAGCAGCAATCACCAAGGGGTCAGACAGCCACAGTGCTACAGACCCTCCTTACCTGCCAGCTGCTTTTTTGGCCAAGGTTTCAGCTCAGTAACTGTTTTTCCCCTCTGGTTTGCAGGATTTCTCCTCGGAGAGGCTGAACGGCAGAGGTAAAGCCCGAGGGGCTGGGGGTGCAGGTGCTGCCAGGCTGGGCCTGGCACTGCAGGACCACGCTCTGTGTTGCAGGGCCCAGCAGCAGGCACAAGGTTTCCCCAGGGCTGCAGTCCTTCAAGAGGATTGGCATCCCTGTCCTGGCAGCCGTGCTCAGCATCGCCTGCCTGGTTACAGTCGGGTTCCTGGGTATGGATCCTGCTCTCCTCTCCCCCTCCCCTCTTTGCACAGCCACCTCTTGGCAAGCACAGCTCTGGAGCCAGGGCTGGCTCTGCCACCTTCTTGCTGAGGCACCAACTGCCAGCCCTGAGCCTGCCCCAGCACCAGTGCTGAGCTCCCCCTTTCCCTCTAGTCAAGGTTTACCTGGACTCCCACTACTTCTTCTGCAAGCAGCCCCTGAAGCTGGTGCCGCTGCAGCAGCTGTGTGATGGGCAGCTGGACTGTCTGCAGGGCGAGGACGAGGCCAACTGCCCCCAGTGGGTCCCTGAGGCACCACCAGCTGCTGGTGAGTCCAGGACACCCTGCTAGATCTGCTGCAACAAGCTTCTGCCTGCTACAGCCACCGGTCACAAAGCTGACTCTGTGTCTGTCTCCAGCCCGTGTTTCCAGAGACAGATCCATCCTGCAGGTGCTTAACAGAAACACTGGAGTCTGGTCCAGCATCTGCCACGACCACTTCAACCTCGTGCTGGCAAAGGCAGCCTGTGAGCAAATGGGCTACAGGAGGTACACAGCTGCTTTCTCCACACTTCTCTCACCAGCTTTATCTACCTCTCTCCCATAAAAGCTCTTCCTGAGCAGGGCTCTGTTTACTTACACGACAGAGGGAGCTCTACGCTAACGGTTTCAGTCCATCCCCTCCCTGCAGAGCACTTTCTGCATCCCCAAGAGCCCTCTGATGTCTGTGCTGGAAGCCTTGGCAGCTTCCCATGTAAGCCCAGTGTCTCCTGCTCTGTGCCCAGCCCACAGGCACCTGCCCTGCTCCCATCCCTCCTCCCACAGCCCCTGGCAGCACACACACACTCACCTTGCTGGAGCAGCCCCTCCAGGGACACCGTGTTTCCAGAGACAGATCCATCCTGCAGGTGCTTAACAGAAACACTGGAGTCTGGTCCAGCATCTGCCACGACCACTTCAACCTCGTGCTGGCAAAGGCAGCCTGTGAGCAAATGGGCTACAGGAGGTACACAGCTGCTTTCTCCACACTTCTCTCACCAGCTTTATCTACCTCTCTCCCATAAAAGCTCTTCCTGAGCAGGGCTCTGTTTACTTACACGACAGAGGGAGCTCTACGCTAACGGTTTCAGTCCATCCCCTCCCTGCAGAGCACTTTCTGCATCCCCAGGAGCCCTCTGATGTCTGTGCTGGAAGCCTTGGCAGCTTCCCATGTAAGCCCAGTACCGTGCCCAGTGTCTCCTGCTCTGTGCCCAGCCCACAGGCACCTGCCCTGCTCCCATCCCTCCTCCCACAGCCCCTGGCAGCACACACACACTCACCTTGCTGGAGCAGCCCCTCCAGGGACACAGGCAGAGCTCAGCCACACTCCCACCACAGATGGAGATCCTTTGGGGAGAGATCAGGGCATCACACTTCCCTTTTAAAGCCTCAGGAGAGCAGCAGCTGGCCAGGAGCGTGATGCCGGGTAGATGCTGTGCAGCTGTGGGCAATCCTGGGTCCTTGCAGCTGCTGTGAGGCTCCATGTCACCCACCTGTGTCCACCTCGTGTGCTGCCCTGAGCTGGCAGCAAGCCAGCTGCATTCAGCCATCTGGGGAAACCACTTGCTAGCCCTGCAAGTTTGGTGCCAGCCCTGGATTAAGGGAGACTTGGAACTCAGTTAGGGGGATACTAGGGAGATGATGGGTTCTGGTGTTTTGCACCCCTCTGGGAGCTTGGACTGAGCCCAAGGTGGCGTTTTCCAGTTCCAAAAGCTGAAGATTTGAACACAGGCCCCAAATGTCACAAGAGCAGGGACATCCTGCCCCACGTAGTCTCGCTTCCTTCAACACGTCCCTGCTCCTGAGATCAGCAGCCAGTCCCTCCAGACCTCCAGGGCTATGACACTTCCCTCTTTTGGTGTCCCTGTCCCTAGGAACCCCCTTTTCTATGGGATCTTTCTCTTGTTCACTGGTGCAGGCTCCAGATGCCCTTTCCAAGCTCCCACTTCCTCTGTCCCACCAGCTCTTTGTTGGCACCATAGGCAAACATTTAGGACCCATTTATAAAGCTTTGGTCTCTAAAGTTTTAGAATTGGGTTATACCATCTCTGGCTCAGTCTGAGCCAAACCCACCAGGTTTCCAGGCTCCCTGAGGTGCCCTGGCAGCAGTTCCTGTCCCCTCTCAGCACCCACGCCTGCGCTGCCTGCCCCAGGGTGTGCTCCCTGACCCGTGCCCCCCGTCTCTTCCAGCACCCCTGCTTTCTGGCCAACAGATGCGGGCGCAGGGCAGCCCCTGCCTCCCCGCGAGCTCGTGCTGAGCAACGGCAGCCTCCAGATGCTGGAACCAGGCAGGTGAGTGGTGGGGCTGCCCCTGACCCTGGGGAGCTGCCATACCTGGCCACGGAGCTGGAGCTTCTCCTGCACCGAATCCTGCCCTTTTCCTCCCTCTTCCAGGAAATGCCTCTCTGGACAGGTTGTTTCGCTCTTATGTTCCAGTAAGTACCACGAGGCTGTTTGCACCTCGCAGCACTCCAGGTCCTCATTCCTGGAACAGCTGCAGCCACAAGAGCTCAGCTCTTGTCCAAGCCCTGGGCCTCTCCGGTTCCTACTCTGTTTGCATGAAAAAAGATGGATTTAATTACTGCTAACCTTCTTGTAAAGCCAGTATAAACCTCCCAGAAATGAGACACCTAAGAGAGGCTTTAACCAGCTGCCTGGATGAATTTTTGCTGATGAATTACCCAGATTAAACTAATCCATCTGGTGGGCGGAGAAGGCAAGGAATGGAGGGACAACATGCAAACAGAGGACAAACTGGGGGGGCTGCCATGTGGCCTAAAGAGGGGACAAGGAGGGTCAGGAGTGGGCAACACATTCCCGGGAGGCACAGGAGTCCCTGCTCCCCCCGAGGATGGAGGAGGGCAGAGCAGGGGCTCTTTCTCTCCCAGCCAACCTGTCTCTGGTGCCCGGCAGCCGCCTGCGGGGAGAGCACCAGGACGTCACGGGTGCTGGGGGGCAGCCCGGCCGCCATCGAGGCCTGGCCCTGGCAGGGCAGCCTGCCGTACCGGCAGGGGGGC